TCCTGTTGGAGGGAAGGGAACTTTGCTGGTTCTAGAACATCCCAAAGTTATGGGCTACCCCGAAGGCGTCCTGACATATGTATGGATGTAAATGTTTGCAGTTTTGCCCTTGGCCAAAAATAAAAGGAGGGACTCCGTGAGACAATTTCTTCAGTGGCCTTAGCTCAAAAGGCAGTGGCCGGAAATGGCTTTGTGGCCAACGGGATGTCCCCCAGGCTGCAGGTATGGCGTCGGCTCTAATACCCTCTGGGTGGATGACGGTCCCTGGGATGAGGGAAGAGAAGGCAAGCTGAGGGCAAAGTGTAAGGTGACACCCCTCGGATCCCCCCCCCCACAGGTGGGGGATGTGTGACATTCCTCAGGCACTCCAGGCTGCCCTAAAACTAAGGGAAGGGAAAACAAAGAGTTAACTAATATTTTCCTCCGGGAAGCCCCCAACTGTCTTAAGGTTCGTGCTTTACTAGAGGGAAAAAAGACTTGAACTTGACAATAGGCAGTCCCCCAGGATCCTGAGAGCCCTCTTTAGCATATAAAAAAATCCTCTTGAAAACCTCCCTTTTTCCTGACCTCCCACAGCTCCGAAGTACATAATCAGTCCCTCACAACCCAGGACAACATCTCTTTCTGTTCACAGATCCCAGATCCCATCCCCCTGCTTTAATAAAATCACCTCCTTACACAAAAGACGTCCCAAGGATTCTTTCTTGACCGTCGGACCTCACCAGCATCACCCGTATTGGTGGATGAGTAGACCAAGGGCACTCCCGTCCCCCTCGCAAATAAACATGCAAAAAATTAAGTAGATAATGAGGATGACCTAGGGCAAGGGGCTTTTTTTTTCTTTTAAGATTTTATTTATTTATTTGACAGAAAGAGAGATCACAAGCTGGCAGAGAGGCAGGCAGAGAGAGAGGGGGAAGCAGACTCACCGCAGAGCAGGGAGCCTGATGTGGGACTCGATCCCAGGACCCTGAGACCATAACCTGAGCAGAAGGCAGAGGCTTAACCCATTGAGCCACCCAGGGGCCCGGCAAGGGGCTTTAATAGGCTTTTCTTTAAAGCCTCAAAGTCTATGTCACCCCTGTCTTTCCAAACAATAGGGTTAGGGCTATCATATTTTATTTTATATTAAAGATTTTATTTATTTATTTGATGAGAGAGAGAGAGAGAGAGAGATAACGAGTGCACACAAGCAGGGGGAGCAGGAGAGGGAAAAGCAGGCTTCCCCATGGAGCAGGAAGTCCAATGCCCAACGTGCCCTGGGAGTTAGGCTGATTATCAGTTGGAGACTTTGTCCATAAAGACAATAGTAGGAAAAAAAAAAAAAAAAAAGACGATAGTAGGGATGCCTGGGTGGCTCGGTTGGTTAAGCAGCTGCCTTTGGCTCAGGTCATGATCCCAGCGTCCTGGAATCGAGTCCCACATTGGGCTCCTTGCTCGGCAGGGAACCTGCTTCTCTCTCTGCTTCTGCCTGCCTCTCGGCCTACTTGTGATCTCTCTCTTTCTCTGACAAATAAATAAATAAAATCTTTAAAAAAAAAAAAAAGAGGGGACGCCTGGGTGGCTCAGTTGGTTAAGCAGCTGCCTTCGGCTCGGGTCATGATCCCAGCGTCCTGGGATCGAGTCCCACATCGGGCTCCTTGCTCATCAGGGAGCCTGCTTCTCCCTCTGCCTCTGCCTGCCATTCTGTCTGCCTGTGCTTGCTCTCTCTCCTTCTCGCTCTCTGACAAATAAATAAATAAAATCTTTAAAAAAAAAAAAAAGAGGATAGTAGCTGATCCCATAGGGACAAACGATTAGGGTCCACAGACTCGGCTATCGTAAGGTCAGAGAGCAAATAAAAGATATCAAAGGTTTGGGGCCCCTGGGTGGCACAGACTGCTGAGTGTCTGACTTTTGAGTTCGGCTGAGGTCATGATCTCAGGATCTTGAGATCAAGACACAGAGAGATGCACTCCCAAACTGGAGAGGGGGTTCTCTGAGTCAATTAAGAGGGGAACAACCCTGCCGCTGGGAATTAGAAGGGCATCAGAAAGGCTTGATAGGAGGCAGAAGGCACCTGGGACACTTACATTAGTAACAATCTTTTTTCTAATATTCTAGCCCTCGGCAATAATAGAAAATAGGGGTGTTGGGGGAACCTTCATTTGCTGGAGTTGAAAATTGAGAATTGGGGTGCCTGGGTGGCTCAGTCGTTAAGTGTCTGCCTTGGGCTCAGGTCAGGATCCCAGGGTCTTAGGATGGAGCCCCGTGTGGGGTTCCCTGCCCAGCCAGGAGCCTGCTTCTCCCTCTGCCTGCAGCTCCCCCTGTCTGCACTCTCTCTCTGTCCAATAAAATAAATAAAATCTTTTAAAAAAATAAGAGAAAAAATTTAGAATTAATGGACTTCCCTCTAGGTGACTGATCTAAGATGCAAGTGAACTGGTTTGCCAAATTCACTAAATCTGGAGTGGAGATAGTTTCCCATTCCGTCGTGGTCCTTTTAACTAGAAGGAGAAAGATCCTGGTTCAGCCCATTAATTTAACAAAGAGTTAAAATGCTACCCAGGTGGATTCAACATCTAAAAGAGGACCAGGTTTGTCTTTATTTTTTAAAAGATTTTATTTATTTGAGAAAGTGAGAGAGAGCACAAGCATGAGCACGGTGGTGGGGAGTGTGGGGGTGGTGGCCAGAGTCGAGCTGGGAAGCCTGATGTGGGGCTCAATCCCAGGACCCCAAGGTCATGACCTGAGCCCAAGGCAGACACTTAATCCACTAAACCACCCAGGTGCCCCCAGAATTTTCTTTAAAGACAATTTGAAATTGACTCTAATGGTCATGAATTAGTTCACCAGGCTTTTGTGTGTGAGCCTGAACTTTGTTCCACAAGCTGCCAGAGTTGCTCAGTGGAGATTTCCAGCAAGTGCTTAGCATCTAGCCAAAAGAGAGGAGTCTGTTTCTCTAAATCCCTTTCAGGTTGTTCCATTCTGGCTAGTTTACCCAGTGTTTGGCTTGGCCCTCACCAACAAGCAGGTGTCCTAATTGGTTTAAATCCCAGAAGCCAGCTTGGTAAGTTTGAATAACTAGGTTAAATTCTTCAGCAGACCAATGGGGGTCCTCAGTCGCCTTAGGAAACTGACTAGCTCACCGTTCAGCCTTAGTCACGGGAACTGTAAGAAATTTGGGGTTTCTTTTGTTCCTCAGAATACTTACCTTAAAAAGGCAGGGGTGTGTGTGTGTGTGTTTTAAAGATTTTATTTATTTACTTTTGAGAGAGAGGTCATAAATAAGCAGAACAGCAGGCAGAGGGAGAGGGGGAAGCAAGCTTCCCAAAGCGGGATTTGATCCCAGGACCCTGTGATCATGACCCGAGCCGAAGGCAGACAGACGCTTAACCGACTGAGCCACCCAGTGCCCTGAGGTTTTCCTCTATTAATTTTTTTTAAATTTTATTTATTTATTTGACAGAGAGAGATCACAAGTAGGCAGAGAGGCAGGCAGAGAGAGAGGAAGGGAAGCAGGCTCCCCGCTGAGCAGAGAGCCCGATGCGGGACTCGACCCCAGGACCCTGAGATCATGACCAGAGCCGAAGGCAGCGGCTTAACCCACTGAGCCACCCAGGCGCCCTCCTCTATTAATTTTCATGGAGTACACGCCACACTTTGTCCATCCATTCATCTATTGATGGACACTTGGGTTGTTTCCACCTTTTGGCTTTGATGAACAGTGCTGCCATGAACGGCGTGTACAAGGATTTGTCCGAACCCCTGTTTTCAATTCTCTTGGGTAGATACCTGGGTCATAAGATATTTCTAACCCAAATTTGAACCCAGGCCCTCTAGCACCATAATCTGCCCTGGAAGATTTTGGAGCCCCTCCTGCTTCCGTGCTTTCACCTTCTGACCTGGCAGGCCTCAGTTTCCTCCATTGAGCAGGGCTGGGTGTGCCCCAACTCACTTCCTCCACCATCACTCTGAATGCATCATGAGAGTAGGGTAAGTTTCCAGGGCAAACAGTGGTAGGAAGTGCCTGTTGTGGAGAGGATTAGAGGGACACTCCCTCCAGATCAGACTGTTGGTTCCAGCTCCTTGTGGGGCCCATAAACTCAGGAGTGTGGCAGTGCCCACAAGGCAGGGAGGAACTTAAGCTGAAGCCTGGGCGGTGTCCCCCTTTGGGGGGGGTGGGGCGCAGAGAATTGACTTCAACAGGCTCCCAAGTTCAGCATTTTTCATGGCAAGAAATTGTGTGCACCTGCTGTCGCTTCCACCTGAAATGCCCATGTTGGGCGTAGTGACATTTGATGCAATCGCCCTTCACACCCACAGAGTATAGATCGTGCCCTTGCCCCGTGTTGACCCTGCTCTCCTAACCTCTCCATTGGGGAGAGATTAGGGCTTAGATCCTCCATTTTACACAGGAAGAAACTGAGGCACACCCAGGACCCGCCCCTTTTCCTAGGGGAAATGGGGGAGGAGGCAGGCGGTAACTAGAAACACCAGGAGGTTCAAGGTTCACATCTATGGATCTGGATCCCCCCCACCGCATCCCAGACCTCCTGACCCTAACACGTCTAGACTAGAAATTTCTAGAGACTCAGAAGCAACACGGGGCAGGATCCGAATCTTCAACAACCCCAACCCGCAAAAGCTTCATATCTGACTTCCAACTTCCAGAACCTTTCCCATCCGGAGGGCTGTGGGCTCAGGACAGGTTTTAGGGATTCATCCTGGATTCATCCTGCCTCCCTGTTCCCCCTCCAATCATTTCTTCAGCAAACACACTTTAGATCAACCCCGCAAAGGGCTCCGCGGGGAGGCGGGCTCGCACATCTCCAGCCGCGGGGAGCTCACGCCCCAGCCTCTGGGGTGGAGTGAGCCCCAAGAGGTGAAAAGGAAAGCTGCGGTGGGACCTTGGGCCGCAGAGGTGAGGGGGCGGGGTCGAGAAGGGAAGAAGGGAGCGGTGGGCGGGGTGAACTTCTACTGGGCCACTGAGAAGTTCAGCCGGTTTGGAGAAGGGGGCCTGGCGGGAGGTAAGGCCAGGAGGAGGAGGAGGCAGGAAGGAGCCAGACCTGGGTGGGGGCTCACGCTCAGATGAAACTTTCCACCTGCTCGCAGCCCAGAAGAGCTAAGAGGTCGGAGGCTGGGCCGTCGCTTGGGGTGAGTGTTGGGGGCCCCTGAGGCGGAGGGGAGGGGAGGACAGGATCGGGGTTCCAGGGAAACCCCGACAGGTCCCTGGGGTCGGGTCTCGGCCGCGTCTACCCCCAAGATGCCGGGAGATCCTGGAGCGGCGGGTCTCAGAAACCCCGTTGCCCTCGCCCATCGGCAATAGTAGTTGCCAGCATTTCCAAGGCGGGCTCGAGCCCGGCATAGAAGGAAGTCGCTCCCGGTACCGTCCGGTCGCTGCGACGGACGTCTCTGGACCCCTGCCTCTACGCCACTACGCCCGCCTCTTAGGCTAGGGCGGAATCAAGATGGAGAAGTGGAGGGTGCTGTCTGCTCTCCGGCCGTTACTGTTACTGCTGTTCGCGTGGAGTTGGTTAGCGCGCTGACTGGGAAGATCCGGCAGAAACAGCACCCTGGTCTCCTCAGGTTGGCTTCTGTATTGAATCCAGGGGACCACTACTGACCCCCAGTCTTGCCGGGTGCTGGGCCAACGTTCATACCTGGGGACCTCACAGCTCATGGCTTCCCCTGGGGTTCAGTTTCGCCCCCTGTTCAGCCGTGGTAGGGCTGTGTGGCTCCGTCAGCGTGCTCCTGGATTTTGAACATGCCTCAGTTTCCCTTCCCTGACTAGTACAGTGACCCAGCTTCCAGGAGGGTGCCTGAGATGTTCAGCCGGTGGAAGCTTTTATGGGGGGGGGGGACCTCAAGTAAGTGACTTTGGGTCTCTGAGCTCCTGTTTCCCTCTGGGTCAAGGGGGACTTGTACCCGACTGTCTGTGCCTCTTAGTGGGTGCACAGGGAAGGACAGCTGTCACCATAACTATATTAATAATCATCATTATTGTATCACCAGCCACCATTCCAGGTTCCTGACCAACTTTCCCTCTGGGTCAGAGTTTTTGTTTTTTTTCCCCATGGTCACTTTTCAGATGGGGAAACTGAGCTCCCCCACTGCCCCACCCCACCAGAGCCTCCCGTAGTCCAGATCTGGGCCCAGGGGGAGCTGCCCAGATTTGGGGCTAAATCTGGGACTACAACTTTCTTCCACAGCCCTGTTGGTTCCTAAGGCGGTCATCCTGCCAGGCAGGGCTGAGGAGTCTAGAGAAAGAGGGGTGGACCCTGGGACAGGCAGCTGGTTCCCCATTTGACCCAGGTGATCAGGTTATGTTTGTTCATCCCCACCCACCCCTACACCTAGGGTGTGGTGATTCCTGCCAGGTACTGGGTATGGGAGGACCAAGAAGGGGCCTTGGAGCATGAACTTCAAGGAGCTCGAGGATTTCAGACAGGTTTCTTTGACCCAGGAACCCAGGGGCAGGACTGGTCGGCCCTAAGGAAGGAGGAAAGATGTCAACTGGGCGGTTTCTCTTCTAGCCATTGCCTCTAAGGGCCCAGAGTGGGGCAGCAACTTGTCCCCACCCCCATGGTGAGAGGAGACCCATTGTGGTCCTTCCTCCTGCTGAAAGCCTGGCTCGGCTTGATTGCTTCCTCCCCATGATGAGGAGTTCACTACCAATATAGCAAACTGAAGGAAGCCCCCCCTTACCACCACCAGGTGGTGGTTAAAGGCAGAGATTGGGCTCCCATTTGACCTCCTTGAATAAGTTCCTTGGATGAGCTCTCTGTGCCTCAGTTTCCCTATCCATAAAAAAAAAAAAGAGGCTAACAAAGCTCAGGTGTGATGGGTAGAGGAGCAGCTGGCCGAAAGACCACACACAGGACTGCCGGGTTAACTTTAATCCTGATGAGTCAGCTCATTCGTGGTGTTTATCTTTACAAGAAAGAAATAATGTAAAGGGGCAGGGGCCCAGCACAAGGCCTGGAGGAGGGCTCCAAGCAGTGTGAAGGTGTGGGGGTCTTTCAGGCGTCCCCACAGACAGAGCCCAGGAGACATCAGTTTCTCCAGCTGGGAAATGAGTCCAGATATGCCCTTTGGAGGCTCAGCAAAGGCTGGGTCTGGTATTTAGTTAGGGGCTTCCGTCGGGCCCCAGATCCCCACCTGGACCCATCCCAGGTACCGTGAGCAGTTTCTGAGGAGGTGGGCTCCATGGGGTCAGTTCCTTCAAATGAGTTAAACTTGATGAGCCCTGGGAACTAGAAACAGAAGTCAAAGGTCTAAAGGCCATGTATCACCCCATTCTAACCCCACCCCACCTTCTTCCTCAACCCTGGAGGCCCCAGGGCCTAGCTTTGCATAAAATCAGCTTGTGCCTTCAGCTCAGGTCATGATCCCAGGGTTCTGGGATTGAGCCCCACATGGGGCTCTCTGCTCAGCGGGAAGCCTGCTTCACCCTCTCCCACTCCTCCTGCTTGTGTTCCCTCTCTCGCTGTCTCTCTCTCTCTGTCAAAAAATAAAATCTTAAAAAAAAAAAAAAAAAAAGAAACAGCTTGCTCACCCCAGGGTCTAGCCAGAAGGAATTATCTTGACTGGGCTTTTTCCGTTTCTCTCTCTCTCTTTTTTTTCCCTTCCGTTTATAAAAGAAGCTTATGATCCTTGCCAAAAGAGACCAGTCCAACATTACTGGCAGGCATAGCTGGTACGAACAGGTGAGGGATCACCCTTGGGTCCAGCAGGTTGGGGTTCAAATCCTAGCAAGCGCTCTCAGCCTCAGTCGGCTGTGGGACCCATGTTGTGGGGCAGGGGGGCTCTGCCTTTCTGCACCCAGCTCACCCACCTGGTAACTGAAGACCAGCCCTGTCCACCAAGGCTCACTGAATCACAGGGCTTGTCTACAGGCCAGGGGTTCACACCCTCTTCTGCAGCACACCTTCTCCCCAAAACTGTCTTATTCACTGTCTCTCTGTCCCACCCCTGTTAGTACATCAGCTCCGGGAGCACAGGCCTTTCTTGCAGACATTCTAGGCTGTGTACCCAGAACCTAGACCAGGGCATGGCCCCCAGTAGAGTCTAGGCGCTCAGTGCTGACTCAGAGCGGTCATGAACATGCATGTGACAATGGTCACTGACATTGATGTTATTGTCACCGTTGGCATATTGTCCGTGTGTGCTTTGGAGAAAAGGCCAGCGTTTGGTCCTATGGCCTTTCTCAGGACTCAGGTTGTCATGTGCGCAAATGGGCTTCTCCAGTCACCCCCATCCCTCCCCTTGCCTTTTGGAGGTTCTAGAATGTTCCATGCTTGCCCCGTTCGAAATCCCAGCTGCGGGCTCTCGGGAAGTACAGAGCCAGGAAGACCACAGCGATGCTGATATTCAGCACCTGCTGGAAGAATCGGAGCTGGCCACTGACCGGCTTTGCATGAGGATGCTGTGGCCCAGAGCGGGCCTGCCACTTGTCCCAGGCCCGCCGATGGTCAGTAGGCAGGTCGGGGTCCCTCCTGGGAGCTGCAGCAGCGACCTCAAGGGCATCAGCTCGCAGTCTTCCCCGCTGCTGGGTCAAGGGACATGAGCCCTCGTTTTCGTGATTTCAAAACCGAGACCCAGGGCCCGGGCCCACTGGGGTCCCTGGAGCTGGAAGTGGGGTCGGGAGGGGTACGCGGGTGGGTCTGTGTCTAAGGGGCCAGGAGAATGACTGGGGACTCACCCTTCCGAGTCTCACTTCCTCATCTGGAAAATACGAGTGTCCTGCGGGATATCGCCTTGACTTGATGGGAGCCTCCACGTCCCGCGGGCAGGCCTGCCGTGGTCTCGTGCTAGCGCAGAGTGGGCGGGGCACATCCGGGCTCTGAGGGGTGCGCAGGTCGGGGACGCGCCAGGCCTTCGTTGTCAATGCGGGATATAGGCGGAAGATGTAGGATCCGAATCCTGTCGCTAATGAATTCTGTTGCGTGCTTGGCTCCTCTGTACCTCTAGTACCTCATTAATATTCAGTGAATCTGGGGCCCCTGGGGGCTCAGTCGGTTCAGCATCTGCCTTCGGCTCAGATTATGGTCCCGGGGTTCTGGGATCGAGCCCTGCACCGGGCTCCCTACTTGGCGGGGTATCTGCTTCTCCCTCTGCCCCTTCCCCCGCCCTTGCGTGTTCTCTCTCAAATAAAATCTTAAAAAAAAAAAAAAAAAAAACACAAAAAAAAACCCAGTGAATCCTTAATATTCAGTGCTGTGTGTTTGCAGGGAAGATGGATAGTCAGTGACAGTACGTTGGTGTCTTGGGGTGGTTTGGTGGCCTGTTCACCTTCACCGTGATGATGTTCGTTCATGCATCACAAATGTGCCTTTCCACTCCTCCCTGTTGCTGATAAACTATTTCGTGTACGTGCTGGGTGCCTCCTGCATATTTAGCCGGCCATTAACAGTATTTGCTGACGTCGGGCTTCTTGCTCATTAAATGCACGGTTTTCCAGTGGTGTGGTTGTTTGGCTCTTCAGGGCATGAGTACCTCTTGGTCCTGTATCAGCCGCACACACACATTTGCTAACTGACCGCGACTGAAGGGCCGGCATCCCGCGAGGCCCGCAGGGCCCCGGATGGGTTGTCGGCAGCTGTCATTGGCAGTGGGTTTGGGCTGAAATGAGGAACGAGGAAATCACTAATATGTGGGTCATCATTCGTAGGTTTCCCTTGTTCCACAAGCACCGGCAAGTGTCATATGGGGATGGGGACATGGCTGTAGGGGACAAGATCCTTGACCCCACCTCGGGGGCTCCAGGCCGGTGGGGGAGATAAACAGGAGGGAAGTGAGTGGATTTCCTGTGTGCAGTGGTGGTGAGAGCTGCAGAGAAAACCAAAGCCAAGCCAGAGTGTTTTAGGTGGGAGGTCAAGGCCCTTCTAAAAAGGCCCTGTGGTGGGGGGAGTACAGTCTGTTGAGCTGCTGACTGTGGCTTTTGGCTCTGCTTGTGATCTCAGGGTTGTGAGATTGAGCCCTGCATGGGCTCTGCACTCAGGGGAGAGTCTGCTTGAGATTCTGTCTCTCCCTCTCCCTTGGCCTCTGCCCCTCACATGCTCCCACGTATGCGTGCACATGCACTCTCTCTCAAACAAATAAGTAAATGCTGGGGGGGGGGGAATAAAAAAGCAATATTAGATTGAGCCTAAAGA